TATCTATCTATCTATCTATCTATCTATCTATCTATCTATCTATCTATGCTTAGTCTCACAGAAATGTTTTAGATTGACAAACCCTGCTAAGAAGGACAGAGGGGATTTACAGCAACCTGCAACTACAAAGAAAAGGGTTTTCCCCATCTTTACAAGTGCTGAGCAATTGCTGGCTCTGGCAGGAGAGGCAGACAACTGGGGTGAAACTGGGATCCCTGTCTAGACATGGCTGGGTTCGTTTTCTAGGTGGTGGGGACAACCGAACCTCCTACTATTTTTATATAGTGAAATACACTTTAGGCTAAGCCAGTTTGGCCTTTAAATCATACAGAAATATAGAGTGTTGTTCTTATCAACAAACCAAGAGCGAGAAAACCGCCTTCTACCTATTGGGCCAACAGATGCAACAAGTTCCACTTCAGAAAAAAAAAAACCTCCCATCTTTTCAGGCCTAAAACCAATGCATTCTGAGGACTATTTCTCAATTTTTTGATAATGCCACTGGTGAGCTCCACCGATATAAAGCCATGATCCACCAGTGAAATACATCAACTGAAAGCCAAGGACAGGCCTTTCCCAAATCTTCCAGAGAGCTTCTGCACCCCAAGCAGGGGTTCTGTTGGAGAACAGCAGGCCTACTCTATAATAAATTAAAAACTTGTTTGCTGGCAAGAAACTATTATTATTACAGATAGAAACCCCCAAAATAGAATTAGAAAGAAACAAGAGAAAAGAGTCTAAATGAAAAGAAAACTTTCCTGAGTTTATGGCATAGCAATAAGACTACTTGCAATTGGACGTGTGTAGTGTAACTAGATAGATGGAGCAATAAATAATAAACTAATGAGTATCATTCAACAGGCCCCTCTGGTGCTCTGTCCCTCCTTTTTTCAATGAATACCCCACAGGTCCTAAATCTTGGCACTAACCTTTGGTTCCAACTGAGCTGTCCAACACCTGTAACATCTGGAAATGGTGGGTAAGACCAGGTTCTCTTTTCCCAGGGGTTCAGCACTCAACTGTAGGGAATACAGGAAGAAAGCCAATAAGAATCTTCTTTCAGTAACTTGTCAAATTCTTAATGAAAAGGAGAAGGTGGCATAGTCACTTCTTATTCATCATAATTAGGACTGCAGAAAAAAACAATTGCTACCAACCTGCCATCCATGGAGGACCTGTACACTGCACAAGTCAAAAAGAGGGCTGTGAAAATATCTACAGACCCCTCACATCCTGGACATAAACTGTTTTAACTCCTTCCCTCAAAACGACGCTATAGAGCACTGCACACCAGAACAACTAGACACAAGGACAGCTTTTTCCCAAATGCCATCACTCTGTAAATAACTAATTCCCACAACACTGTCCAACTATTTACAAAGTCTGCACTACTATTACTATTAATCTTCTCATCACTCCTTATCATCCATCTCCTCCCACTTGTGACTGTATGCCTGTAACTTTGTTGCTTGTATACTTACGATTTATATGCACTGTTTCCTAGTATGATTTGATTGCTTATTGTACCCTCTGACTTATCATTAACTGTTGCACCTGATGATTCTTGACGAATATATCTTTTCTTTTTATGTACGCTGAGAGCATTTGCACCAAAGACAAATTCCTTGTGTGTCCAATCTTGGCCAATAAAGAATTCTATTCTATTCTATTCTATTCTATTCTATTCTATTCTATTCTATTCCCTATTCTATTCTATTCTTTTCCCTATTCTATTCTATTCTTTTCCCTATTCTATTCTAAAGACTGTAACTTTGTCACTTGTATCCTTGCGATTTATATTGACTGTTTCCTAGTATAATTCAAATGCTTCTTGTACCCTAGGACTATCATTAAGTGCTGTACCTTATGATTCTTGACTCTTGACAAATGTATCTTTTCTTTTATGTACACTGAGAGCATTTGCACCAAGACAAATTCTTTCTGTGTCCTGTCAGTTCCCTGGGAATTTAAGACGGGTAGTGAAAAGGGCAGATAGACTGCCATTTAGGAAATCTATAGACCCTATAATTTTAAAAATAGGAGAGTTTGGAGCTTGGAGCTTAAAGAGATGTCAGTCCGTAATGTGGCATGTTGCAGGTCTTAGTTCTTGTCAGCAATTTCCACTTTTTATCACTGCAGAACTTTTTCATGGGAATATTTCTCCACTCTTATCTAGTTCTGAGGCAGCAAGAATTAGAAGCAAGGATAGGTCTGCCTGTCTAAGGCCTTTATTAAACACCGTGTGACTTATTTTGAGTAAATATGTTAATGTATTTAACAAGACGAGAACAAGAGGAAACACTCTGCTCGCTTGTTACATTTAACAGCACATTGAATTTCTCTCTTAATTCTTCCTTTCTCTGGAAAAGCCCAAATAAATGAATGGCTCAGTAGCAGCAGCTTCTCCTCAGCCTTAAATGCTGTCATATCTGCTTTCATTCCCCCCACTTATTGTCAGTTTACCAAAAGCAATTAGACCATATCAGAGAACCACTGTTTGCCAAGTGCCACTTTCTCACATGAAACTTTTGCTCTTGGGTTACACATTATTAAAAAAGAAAAAGAAAAAAAAATAAAGAAAAAGTCTTAATCAGGCAAATATTTACATGGAAAGCTGACTTTCCCTCCACGGATACACAGGTGGGTAAAACGGATAGAAATTCCAGCAGTGCTGATGGAACTAGGGCTCCCAATACAAAAATTCTCCCTCAAACTTCTTAGTTTTGCTTGCTTTTTAATCAGCCTCTGACCCTTGACCTTCCGTATTGCCCTCATAAGGTAGTTCACCGAAATAAAATCTGAAAAATGAATGCGCGGAGAGTCCCATTCAAAACCATTGGCTCAAAATAGCGGGGTTGAAAAGTTTCAAGACTTGGATGTAACATAAAGGATATACAGATAGTTCTCAACATAAAACCACAACCCAAAATTTCTGTTGTTAAGCAAAGGCATTTGTTAAGTAAATGTTGCCCCCCCCTTTATGATTTTTCTTGCCACGGTTGTTAAGCAAAACACCGCAGTTGCTAATAAACAAAATTGTTAAGTTAATAAGTTAGTAACAAGATTGTTGAGTGAATCTTGTTTGCCTGTTGACTTTGCTTGACAGAAGGTCGCAAAACCGTCTTAAATACGAGTCATTTGCCAAGCATCTGAATTTTGATCTCGTGATTGTGGGGATGCTTGCAACGGTTGTAAGTGTGAAAAAGAATCATAAGTCATTCTTTTCCGGTGCTGTTTGTAACTTTGGTCACTAAATCAATTGCTGTAAGTCAAGGACTACCTATATTGAAGCGTTTGTGTTAAAGCACTGCTCCCCCCCTGCACAAACCCCCTCCTCTGAGTTATACTTGGGTCCTTTGTCCACGCCATTCTTTCCCGTTGCAAACTTACGACCATCTCTCTTAAGACGTCGTTTACGATGCTGGCTGGACCGCTCCTTGGCTGGGCTCTTTGACAGCTTACTTGGCATGTCTGTGCCCTGCCCCACAAGTCTTTTGCTCATTTGAGTGTTAATAT